AAAAACTGTAATTTTAGTTGCTATTGTTTACAGCAGTATTATTGACTATGGGATTAAGACAATTCTTGTGTTGACAGTGAAGTGTCCCTTACGCATTTGATCCTTTTTATTTTATGATTAATGTCTCTCTCTTTTTTTTACCGTTTCTCTGCGTCTCATTTTGTTGCTGATGTGAAAGCTATTAATGCCAAAGTAGACTATAAGAACCATTGTGTAAATTGTCTCATTTGTATTAAGGTTGAAGTATATGATTTTGTCTGTTTCAGTGCTGCATTTCTTTTTGCCTAAACAGTGCTAGATCATCAATTGGCATATGAAAACTGCTTTGCAAAGTGTTCAGGGCTGGGTTGAGCTTTTTCCCCATATGTTTCTATAAGGAAAAAAATGTAATTTATGGTAATTTGTGTTTCTTTGTAATATATTTGCATAATAGGTGTTTTAACTTTTTAGAAAATGAAATGCTTGCTATTAGACCTAAATGGTCTGCTTTGAGGCTATGTACTTGCAGGATTATTAAATGTGTAAAGAGACTTTGTAAGGACCCAGTGTACAAATATATCTCCATTTGAATGATACATTTGTGTGTTTGCCTTTAAAGTAGGTATGACTGTTTGTTGTGCTTGATCCATCTTGTATATTACATGTGTATATCATCTGTGTGGATGCTTTTGTATGTGTACAACCTCTTTGCACTTACTTACATATGTAAAAATAACAAACAAACAAATTATTGAGTCATGTATTGTGTACATAATTTTCACTACTTTTATGTGACTGTGACATTTAAGAATAAAAAAATGTTAGCTATCATAACTTTTACTTCCACCCACACTGATATAGACCAGGGATGTCAAACTCAAAAATCTTTACAGGCCAAATTGCCCAACCTAGTCATGACAGTTCAAATTGCTCTGCTCAGTCACCTATGTGTGCTAATTGTGGTGGCTCCCATATTGTATTTTATATGGGATGCCCTGCCTAAAACCTTGAATGTGAGGTAGCAGTTCTCAGATTCATACTAGGCCTCACTATGTGAAACCAGACAGGAAGCATGGCAGTGGGATTTTACTCACCCTCCCTATTCCAAAACTGCTCTGTTCCCCTCCCATCTTATCAAGATGTCCCAGCATCTCTTCCCTCTACCCTGAACCATCCAACCTCTACTCCCCCTCTACCCCAGGCAAATTCCTTTTCTAGCCTTAATCCAGATACTCCAGTCTCTACCACTTCTCTGCTGCCTACTCCACCTACTCACTTTACCTGTCACACCAGACAACCTATATTTTCCACACCATCTTCACCTACCACATCCTCCCCTCAAACATCTATCCCCTCGTTTCCCAGACCTCCCCACCTAACCCCTCCAGAAACTCTTGAAAACATTCAAAAATTCCTAAATATGACTCAAGAGAATGTTCTGCTCAAAATATCCCTCCATCCCTGTTCCTTCTATATTCAAAGTATGCCAATATCCTTCCTCCTCCCCCACAAGTTACCCCTACCCCTCTTCCTCCCACTTTTTCCCAACATACCCCAGCCTCTCCTACTCCATGTGCAACATTCCCTCTTAATTACCCATTATCTTTACCTCTCCCATGTGATCCCTTCTGTCAAAACAGTGTCCTTCTCTGGATCCCTCCCCTCCAGACATTCTTCTTGATACTTCACCTCTTTTTCCATTCCCCTTATCTCATTCTCCAGATTCTTCTGCTACTTCTTCAACAGCCATCTTTACCTGTATTAGCTGATGATTGTTTCATAATTGTTTTTTTGCCAGTTTTCCTTAAACAATGTTCCTATTACTTCCCCAGCCACTGATACACTCCATTTCATCTAATTGCCCTATTGCCCTTAACCCTTTCCTTTACTATCTCCGATTTACTTCGTTTGCTCTCCCTCTTTACCCTTTTCCCTATCATACTATCCTATAACACTATAACCTTTGACATTAACACGTTTTATCCTAATTGTTAACTCATCTTTACCCTTTTTGTCACAATACTTTAACTTAGCGCTATATGACCTTTGATGTCCATGTGACCATTAATCATTCCTTTCAGCTACCATCCTGAGGGTCAACAAAGGTTTGTACCTGGCTTCTCAGGATTACATTACTAAAACTGGTATTATGTACTCATATGTAAAGTTTATTTTATTTATCAGATTTTAAATGGTGATATTAAGGGTAACAAATTGTATATGACTATTTTCCTTCGTGGCAATCACAATTCCATAGGCCAATAATTATTCTTGTCATCCTGCGGGCCACTTCTGATCATCCCAGGGGCACACTTAGACAGCAGAGTATGACACCCCAGGGATATTTCATTCATTATAAAAACACAATAATAGAAAAAAAAAAAAAAAAAAAAAAAACTACGATATAACTGATAATCTTAAAAGACTAAATACTGGCTTAATTAATCATATAAAATGGCCGACTGTAAGACTGAAATAGCAAGTGCACTGCAGGCCACACGTAAGAGCGTGGCAGGCTATAGATACAGAGCTTTTATCAAACAAATCAGATTTTCTTGGCACCATAGTATACTTAAATTTATTAGAAGAAGAGCCATTTTGTCTTTCATATTAAATTTAAGAGGATTACTGACAAATGGTAACCATATAAAATACAAAATTATCTTAATCAAACAAAATCATTCATAATGGAATACATGACTATTACTATCAGTAGCCACCATGTAGCTGCAAGGGAAACAAGACTCAAAATTAGGGTTTGATAAAATGAAGCTACTCTGTAAAATAAAAAAAAAATATTACAACTAAGTGTACGACTGCTAAACTTTCAACAAGATATAAAAATGAATATCTCCTAAAATGAGTAATTAAGAATGTGACTGTAATTTACTCTTTTTTAGATAATGATTTTAAAGTGATTCATAATTTAACAGGATCTATCCTTGCCTACATATGCTCAAAATTATATCCACATCCACCTATGGGTGGATATGGATACAGTTCACAGAACAAGAACCGTGCATCATTTAAATTGATATAAGTCAAAGAGAATGTCTTGTGAAAGAATACTTGATCAATTCTTATTTTTCTGTGTCAATATCTGTGGTTATCTGTAGCCCTGAGAATATGTTGCTGAAAATCTTGGCAGTACCATGCACACTGCCATTGATCAACAGGATATGTAATGTTGATAAAGCTCTTTGTCATGGGTCTACTAGAATACGTAATGCAGATGATTGTCTGATGTACCATTTCCTCTACTGAGAGACCTTTGTGAGGCACAATTAGCTCATCATCTAGGAAATAAGTTTCATATGTAGTTAGTATTTATCTTTTTCAGCTGAACAGATCAAGTGCTAATGTCATTCATGAAAGTTTAATTCGCTAACATTCAATATCAAGTTCAATGCAGAAAAAATATAATGTAACATGGTCTCTACTAAACTTGCAGTGTGTTGTGTTGTTACAATATACTTGTTTTATTTTTACAAAAGTAAAGATATATTTGTAATGAGGAATTTTCATGTTATACCAGTTTATACATACTGCTTTTACAACAATAATGTCATAAAAGACACAAAAGAAAAGTAGGTTAAAAATTCTCCTAAAGAGCTAGTTCATTGATGGCAGTTTATCATCATGCATAACACATGCATGGTATACTATAATCGTATAGCATATATGTGACTTATTTATGTATGACATGAACAAGATATATGTGTAAAATGTAAATCTTATAATCATTTATAATCTGTACGTGTTGTAATATGTGTATAAAAAGATACATCATACCACACTGTATGTATAAAGATATAATGTGCATCCGTTTGTGACCTTCAACCTCCTAGCTTAATACATTTATTTTATAATGTACTTTAAATACAGTTTCATTTCATCTGTGATATTATTTAAGTAAGAACATTTCACTGTACTCCATTGTTAACTTTATAATGTCAGCTAGAGAGCCTTAGCTCAGCTGACTATTGTGCTGCAACATAAACATGTACCAACCCTGGCAATAAAATCAATCAATCAAATCAAATTTATCCATTTTTTATGTGTATATAGTTTCTTTAAATTTCTTGAAGCTCGAGCTTTTTGATATCCTAAAATGTATCATTTAGCTCCCTACTTTTAGGTCAACAAGCAAGGTCCAAAACAACTTGTGAGAAAGTGAAAGAGAATGAAATAATGTTATTAAAGCAGATACCAAACTCAGACACAGTACCCATTTTGTTGAAACCTATTGAAAATCCTAATAACCATTCAAAAATAATGAGGTGATATTGAGTGATTACTTGTTAATTTTTCTTCAGCGTTGAGTGCAGCTATAACTGTCATAACATAATGGCCTATGATGCATATATGCATCATGACTCGCAACAGGTGGGCTGGCTGTACACAGCTTAGGCCTAGCCACAAGGTCTATACTGTTGCATAATATTACATAACAAAAAATTCAGGCCTATGTTGAGTACAGCAAACCCACCTGTTGCGAGTCATGATGCTTATATACATCATAGGCCATTATATCATGACTGCTATAGCTGCACTTAATGCTGAAGGGTGGTTGATATCTGCAAGAAAAATTAACAAGTAATCACTTAATTTCACCTCATCATTTTTGAAGTTATTAGGATTTTAAAGTGATTCATGATAGGGTTAATTAAGATGGTACAATATTTCCATTACAATTTTGGCTATAAGAGCAATGATGCAGGAGCCTGCTTCTTATCTATCTAATAACTTTAATTATGATTATGCCTATATTAGCAATAACAAGCAATCCTGCCTGTTCCTGTACATTTAGTAAATTATTTTCTTTACTCTACTTCATTCGTTTTACACCTAAAGAAGTACATGCAGATGCCCTTGTTATTTCTTGTCTATGAAAGGCATATCTCTGACCTTTAGTTTGATGTATAGTTAATACATTTATATTACATCAATGGATTTTGCATTATCTGATTTAGAATTATTACATGCATCTTTTATATAACAAAAGGAAAGATAAAACCAAATTTGCATTTTTTCTTTATTAGAAGTGATCTGAATTGAAAAGTCATACTCAATTTATCAATGCAATACTGTTAATCATTGTGTAAAAGATGTGTCAACAAATTTCTTTAAATTTTACTGAAAAGGATAAATTTGGGCACAATTTTCAACACCTAATATCTTAATGTGACAAAATTATCCTCCTGAACTGGCAGCTTTTTTAACATCACTATTATCACAGGCTATATCAGATTTCTTTGGTTCTTGCTTCTGATCTACTGGACAAGTTTGCGCTTTTGCAAATTCGACTGAATACTTCTGGTACACTTCTGTTAGTGCTGCATTGATGGGGACTTCCTTTTCCTGTGAAGTGAAATTGGGAAAAGAAGTGAATTGTAAAAAGAGTGGTGATTATAATGATAATTATGGATGACTGATGACATCGAGGATGGACAATGATTTATATAATGTAATTTATAGATGATGATAATGATGATTTGCGAAAACAACAATAATCACACACACACACACACACACACACACACACACACACAAAAAAAAAAAAAAGTTTGATTCTATATCATGGACAGTTAGAGCATGAAAACATATTTGATATATAAAAATAATGATTTATGGAAAATCATATTCTTATTTCCAACAAAATATTTAATTCTAATCAACTGCAAATATATCAATTATGATCAGTATCACTCTTTAGAAGCATTACAAGTTATCTAAACATTTGTTTTATAAAGAAAATTCATACATACATAATCACAAGATTAGATGATAGATTAGATGGTAAATCTTGTATGTGCAGTTTTGACATCTCAATAGAACAATAGTATGTACATTACAAAGCTAGCATATATTAAGTCTCTGATACAATTCTTTCAACTGGACATAGAAATCAGGCAAACAATTACTGGTGAATACCCTACCTGAATTTCCTTCCAGATTTTTTCTAGTTTCTTGAGGTTATTAGCCCGCCTGAGTCTCCTTAGGAAAATATACTGATCAAGCTCAGCTTTGGTCATCATATTACAGCCTGTTACTTCACATAAGTTTTCTGCCTGTGACCTGAAAGATATGAAGTTAGTCTTCGTCCTATTAATTTTTGGGTGAACAACACATTTTATCATAGTGTCCTCGTTATTTCACAAACTTTATGCACATCATATAGTATTATTACACAATTCAAATAAGTTTCTTTATTTGCATATACCTGTTCTATTCCCCTATAAAAATACCAGTTTTTGTCTTCATATTTCCCTAATGAATTCCAACTGAAGCCAAGTTCTATTCATTATTCTCTTAGTATGCTAACCCACTGGTGCCAAGTACATGCACTATCTACTGTGGTTTTGTTTGTTAATTTTGTTTACTAACAGATGACTTCACAAGTGCTTTGTCACCAAAGTCAATTATTAGGCCTGACTGCTCTCATCTGTTTACCCCATTCTTTGAAATTTCAGGAAAATGTTATTCTATTGGTGTCATTATTCACATTAACATAATCATTATTGTTCTAGAAATCCAATTGATTGGGTTAGTTTCTAAGGTGTGGTAGACTTTGTATTTGACTCCTTGGTGACTAAGCACTTCCAGAGCCATCCACATATACAATGAATTAATAAAACAAAATGACAGTGTATGCATACACAAAATTTTCATTTTCACTCAACCATCAAATGTTTTCATATATGAAAAAAACTCAAAGAAAATGTCTTCCTGCTTGTTATAATTCCTAATAGCACATATCACCTCTCAAAATTCACTAACTTTTATTCTCTATATTCAAAGATCTCTTTATCTAATTCTGCTAATTTCCCACTGTGAGCTTTCCCTCTGAATATCAGTGCAAAAGGTAGCCACCATTACCTTTCCAGGCTAGAATGGAAACGAACACCAGCTTTTTTCTCCACATATTCCATAGGAACCTGAAACTCCTTCAGGTGATGGGAATATCCGATAGGCTTGTTGGGAACAACAAAAGATCCGGTAACAAGCTGGTCATTCTTCTTAGCAATGATTACTTTGTACAGGTGTGAAGGAACAGATACCTCATTTTCACCAATGACCTGCAAGTACAGAAATTACTTTTGAGTATGAGACCTTTTGGAATGAACTACAACTGCACAGCTAGGCAGATATGTTTAGTGAGGTGCTGAGAAGAGCATTCCCTTTAACCAATATTTAGTTTGGAGATAATCAAGCTTGAAAGTTTGAAAGATATCATCTTTGCGATGATTACACGGATTTTCTTCTGGTCTGTCTTAAAGGCCATTTACTTGCATTAGTAAAATTTTGCAATGAAAATTAGAATTTAGATTTTTTTTTTTTTTTTTTGCACCTAATGAATAGCTATTTTAGGAGTTGCTAAAAATGTAGAGCAAAATTCCTTAATTCGTATTTCAAATACCTGTAAAAAATCAACAAACTTTCTTTTGGGAGGACAATGACCATGAGTGTAATCCAGTAAATGTACAGCATGGCAGTGTGACTGAGGCTTCCTTGGTGTCC